AAGAACGGGGCAGGAGCCGAGCCGGTCAGGGCCCCGGAGGGTCTCAGGCCAGTGCTGGAAGACGCCAAGCCCCCCGCTAGCCGGGCCCCAGCCAGGAACAAGGTAGGTGAAAAAGACAGCGGTTATAAGCCACCCTTTTCAGTGGCGTTGTAACTTTGAATGTCGTGAGTCGAGGTCTGCCTCTGCTTTATTTATTTGTTATTATTTACTATTTAAGATTTAACCTTCCATTCGATTGACAGTCTGGGACTGGTAAAAGTTTAACAGTTGATTCTTCTTCTTATTATTATTATTACTATTACTATTATTTAAGATCTAATCTTCAGTTCGAAATACAGTCTGGGACTGGTAAAAACATAACAGTTCATTATTTATTATTAAGATTTCATCTTCAATTCAATTCACAGTGGGACTGGTAAAAACTTAACAGTTGTTTATTATTATTATTATTGATTTAATATTCAATTCAATTCACAGTGTGGGACTGGTAAAAAATTAATAGTTTATTATTATTATTATTATTATTATTGATTTAATATTAAATTCGATTCACAGTGTGGGACTGGTAGAAAACTTAACAGTTTATTATTATTATTATTATTATTATTATTGATTTAATATTAAATTCGATTCACAGTGTGGGACTGGTAGAAAACTTAACAGTTTATTATTATTATTATTATTATTATTATTATTATTATTATTATTATCATCATTGATTTAATATTCAATTCGATTCACAGTCTGGGACTGGAAGAAAACCAGTTGTTTGTTTGTTTTTAATTATTATTATTATTATTATTATTATTATTATTATTATTATTATTATTGTTGATTTAATATTCAATTCGATTCACAGTCTGGGACTGGAAGAAAACTTAACAGTTCTAGTCCTGCCCAAGGGTCTAAGAGCTGTTAAGGTAGCATCTGCATATATAGGCAGTTCCAAGTAGGATGCTTTTATTGCAAAGTCAAAATATTCAGGTCTAATAAGTTCAAAATAATAATGATGATGATGATGATGATGATATAATGTTAATCTTCAATTCGCTGCAAGCCAAAAGCGACCCCTATTTGGATGAGTAACGAAGCATCTTAGTTTCAATAAGCTGTGGTCCAGTTGCCCTGATTTAGCCCTTTTTAGATCGGCCTGGCTGAACCAGGCAACGGTGGGGTGGGGGGATTCCAGCCTCACGCACTGACGGCAGACTCCCATCTTCCCCACAGCGGACTCTGGGGCGCAAGCGCCTGCAGCACCACGGCGGTTCGTTCAAAGACGGTGAGTCCCGCGCCGTCCCCCGCCTTTGATCGTCCTTTCTTCAAACGTTGAAAACTCAAGTCTTAAAAGTTGCCAACGTTGGACACGCCTGGAGGTTGTTAAAGAAGAGATCGGACAGCCATTGGTCTGAAATCGTATAGGGTTTCCTGCTGGAGCAGGGGGTTGGGCCAGATGACCTCTGAGGTCCCTTCCAACTCTGTTGATTTGTTATGCGGAACTAGATTTTGCCCTGGGCTTGTGGTTGCTGCTTTGTCCCGCCAAAGTGTTTTTGTGCGTTGACCCGCAAAACTCTTTTTGAGTTCAGAGCATCTCTTTGACCGGGATGAGAAACTTCCTGACAGTGAGGACAATCGACCAGTGGAACAGCTTGCCACCAGAAATCGTGGGCGCTCCATCACTGGAGATTTTTTAAGCAAAGCCTAGACAATCACCTGTCCGAGATGGTGGAGGTTCTCCTGCTCGAGCAGGGGGCTGGACTAGAAGACCTCCAGGGTCCCTTCCAGCTTCTATTCTGTTCTGTTCTCTTTGCCAGACCCCCGTTTGTATCAAGAGATCCGAGAAAAAGGCCTCAACTCCATCAACCACGAGTCGGACGATGACCTCCTCGACCTGGACGCCATTCCTGAAGAACATCCGCCTGCCATCGTGGTGAAAAACTACCGTCCTGCTCACACCACCTGGAGCCAGCAGCTCGAGGTAGGGAAGGGCGAGAGGAAGGTGTGGCACCAAGCTCAGAAACACAACGCAGGCAGCACAACTCTCCCCCTTGGCCGAGTCAATATCGACCCGGTAAATATCTGCCCATCTTCGGAGACACCAAAGGTGCAAAGGGCACCTGACATGCAGCGGGAACACACAGTCACACCCACAGACTCACACAGACACAGCCAAACAAATAAACACACACCTGATTCTTCCCCATAAGCCCCTTTTCAGGAAAAGAGAAACATGAGGAATGGGAAGAGGCTTCGCCCATTTGACTCACTGCCTGAAGCAGCCAGGAGGAAACGCAACGTTTGCGTTTGGTCTGGAGTGTTGCAATAAGCAATAAGTCCAAAAAGCTTGGAAATTCCCGGATGTGTGTGTGTGTGTGTGAGTGTGTGGCTGTGTAATTAAACGCACACACAAACACCCACCCAGACCCAGGTGCGCGATTGCCTCTGATTTAGACACAAGCCGTGGGATCCCTCAGAGGGCGGTCCTCGTTTCATCGTTTGTCCTTCCATTTGTTCAGTTTCTCACGGAATAAAATATTACTTTTTTTAAAAAAAACAACTCAAACTTTCCTTCCAACCTCCCCCCCCCTTAAATTTTTAGGAGGGATGAAAGGATATTAATTTCAGATTGGTTATGATAATTTGCAAATAAAGCAGAACATAGGAATTAAAGGGAGTTGAATAGAATAGAATAGAATAGAATAGAATAGAATAGAATAGAATAGAATAAGAATTAAGAATAGAATAGAATTAAAGAATAGAATAGTAGAATTACAGAATACAATAGAATTATAGAATAATTAGAATAGAATAGAATAGAATAGAATACAATACAATACAATACAATACAATACAATACAATACAATACAATAGGTGTGGACCTCACCTTTCCAGATGTGAAGCCTTCACCTCCCCAGAGCTGAGAAGTGAAATGTGCACATCTGGAGAGCACAAAGCCAAAAAGAGCACTTGAAGGCCCCTTGGTGAATCCTGTTGGCAGAAGAAGCTGGTCTGAACTTCCACAGCATAGATGGTCCNCCCTTCTCCCTCTTTCTCTTTCTCTCTCTCTCTTTCTTTCTCTCCCTTCTTTCTCTTTCTCTCTCTCTCTCTTTCTTTCTCTCCCTTCTCCCTCTTTCTCTTTCTCTCTCTCTTTCTTTCTTTCTTTCTTTCTCTCCCTTCTCCCTCTTTCTCTTTCTCTCTCTCTCTGTCTTTCTTTCTTTCTCTCCCTTCTCCCTCTTTCTCTTTCTCTCTCTCTCTCTGTCTTTCTTTCTTTCTCTCCCTTCTCCCTCTTTCTCTTTCTCTCTCTCTCTCTCTCTCTCTCCCTCTCTCTCTCACACACACACAGAGAGAGAGAGAGAGAGAGTGAGAGAGAGTGAAAATCCTTTGCAGTTCTTTTCCAGCATTCCCCCTTCAAATCCTTCACTCCGTTTTTTTTTTTAAAAAAAATCTTTTTCCTGGGGACAGTTTTTGGCTTCTTAATTGCCTTTAAGTTTGTTTTGGATGTCATGTTTTGTTTTGTTTTGATGAGCTTTAAAGAGCTTTAAAGCTCTTCCGCCGATCAGCTCGCTGATCATTAATTTTATTAGCTGTAAAGTTTTCTTCTCTCTATATATACGCATACGGGTGGCCCTCGCCTTACGACAGCTCCATTTAGTGACCGTTCAGAGTGACAAGGGTACTGCTCAATGGTAATATTTTTTTTTTATTTTTTTTTGCCCAGCCAGCTAGCACAGAAGAGAAAGCAGTTTCTGTATCCAAGCTGGGCTTGCTTGCAAGTGACCTTTGGAAAAGTGGTAGGACCGGTTAAACTGGCCCCTGGGTTCGTGTGGGTGTGCAGGAGCGAGCGAGCGAGTGTGCACGCTTGTGCCAAGAAAAGCCAGCGTGCTCCTCCTCCTCTTCTTCCCTGTCCAAGTCCAGCTTTAAAGATCCGGTCTGTAAAATCCTGCCCCAAATTGTCCTTTTTCAATGCCAGATTCTGAAGGCTGATCTGGGTTGGTGTCCTGTAGTCTGTTTCCAACTTTCTCTGATACCATAAACCTTTATCTATTTCTACTTTTATTTCTACTTCTACTTTTATTTCTACTTCTACTGTATTTCTACTTTTATTTCTAGTTCTATTTCTATTTCTATTTCTATTTCTATTTCTTTTTTTTATTTCTACTTTTATTTTTACTTCTATTTCTACCTTTATTTCTACTTTTATTTTTACTTCTATTCTACTTCTAGTTCTACTTTCATTTCTACTTCTATTTCCATTTCTACTTTTACTGTTATTTCTACTTTTATTTCTACTTCTATTCTACTTCTACTACTTCCTATTTCTGCTTCTATTTCCATTTCTATTTCTTTCTACTTTTATTTCTACTATTTCTACTTCTATTTCTACTTTTATTTCTACTCCTACTTTTATTTCCATTTCCATTTCTACTTCTACTTCTATTTCTACTTTTATTTCTACTATGTCTACTTTTATTTCTATTTCTACTTTTATTTCTACTTCTTCTATTTCTACTTCTATTTCTACTTCTATTTCTACTATTTCTACCTTTATTTCTACTTTTATTTCTACTTCTATTCTACTTCTACTACTTCCTACTTCTGCTTCTATTTCCATTTCCATTTCTACTTCTACTTCTATTTCTGCTTTTATTTCTACTATGTCTACTTTTATTTCTATTTCTACTTTTATTTCTACTTCTTCTATTTCTACATCTTCTGTTTCTACTTTTATTTTTACTTCTAGTTCTACTTCTACACACACACACACACACACACACACACACACACACACATAAAGAGCACGAAAATTAACAGACAAATAAAGAGTAAAGCAGGAACGAAAGAAAGTCTCCCCCCCCCAAAAAAAAAACCAGGACTAAAGAAACAGTTCTTCCCTCTGAGTCCTTGTTAAATCCCAGTTTGTGATGTTCTCTCTTAATCGTGGCTATTGGCTAAGCCAGGGTTCCCTCTCTTTTCCCTCCCTCTAGGGGTCTTTGGGATCGACATGGCCCAACGGCATTCAACCACCTTTCCGGGGGGCCAAAGTCCCCTCCTGGACCATCAACCCATCAGCAACAACGGCTTGTCTCCGGGTGGGAAATGCGTCTCTGTGACCTCGTTGGAGGATGCCGGCCACCCGGCCGAGCCCTCGCCCCCGCTCTCCATTCCGCGGCGGGTCATCCTGAGCACGGAAAGCCCGGCCGCCCTCAAGGTGGGCACCCAGCAGCTCATCCCCAAGAGCTTAGCCGAAAACCCCAAGTCCAAGCTTCCCGCCCGCCCCCAGAGCTTCTCTGATGGGGTGGTGGGGGGCAGAGAGGGGGTCCGCTGCGACCCCAAGCGCTTGTCGGCGCCCAGCCTTTCCCTGGAGGATGAACTGGAGGACGAGTTGGACGCAGGCGAGGGGACGCTGAAGCGCAACCTGCGCAGCCTGTCCTACCGGGCGGCCATGAAGGACCTGAAGAACGGGGCAGGAGCCGAGCCGGTCAGGGCCCCGGAGGGTCTCAGGCCGGTGCTGGAAGACGCCAAGCCCCCCGCTAGCCGGGCCCCGGCCAGGAACAAGGTAGGTGAAAAAGACAGCGGTCATAAGCCACCCTTTTCAGTGGCGTTGTAACTTTGAATGTCGTGAGTCGAGGTCTGCCTCTGCTTTATTTATTTGTTATTATTTACTATTTAAGATTTAACCTTCCATTCGATTGACAGTCTGGGACTGGTAAAAGTTTAACAGTTGATTCTTCTTCTTATTATTATTATTATTACTATTACTATTATTTAAGATCTAATCTTCAGTTCGAAATACAGTCTGGGACTGGTAAAAACATAACAGTTCATTATTTATTATTAAGATTTCATCTTCAATTCAATTCACAGTGGGACTGGTAAAAACTTAACAGTTGTTTATTATTATTATTATTGATTTAATATTCAATTCAATTCACAGTGTGGGACTGGTAAAAAATTAATAGTTTATTATTATTATTATTATTATTGATTTAATATTCAATTCGATTCACAGTGTGGGACTGGTAGAAAACTTAACAGTTTATTATTATTATTATTATTATTATTATCATCGATTTAATATTCAATTCGATTCACAGTCTGGGACTGGAAGAAAACCAGTTTTATTATTATTATTATTATTATTATTATTATTATTATTATTATTATTATTATTATTATTATTATTATTATTATTATTGATTTAATATTCAATTCGATTCACAGTCTGGGACTGGAAGAAAACTTAACAGTTCTAGTCCTGCCCAAGGGCCTAAGAGCTGTTAAGGTAGCATTTGCATATATAGGCAGTTCCAAGTAGGATGCTTTTATTGCAAAGTCAGAATATTCAGGTCTAATAAGTTCAAAATAATAATGATGATGATGATGATGATGATATAATGTTAATCTTCAATTCGCTGCAAGCCAAAGGCTACCCCTATTTGGATGAGTAACGAAGCATCTTAGTTTCAATAAACTTTGGTCCAGTTGCCCTGATTTAGCCCTTTTTAGATCGGCCTGGCTGAACCAGGCAACGATGGGGTGGGGGGACTCCAGCCTCACGCACTGACGGCAGACTCCCATCTTCCCCACAGCGGACTCTGGGGCGCAAGCGCCTGCAGCACCACGGCGGTTCGTTCAAAGACGGTGAGTCCCGCGCCGTCCCCCGCCTTTGATCTTCCTTTCTTCAAACGTTGAAAACTCAAGTCTTAAAAGTTGCCAACGTTGGACAGGCCTGGAGGTTGTTAAAGAAGAGATCGGACAGCCATTGGTCTGAAATCGTATAGGGTTTCCTGCTGGAGCAGGGGGTTGGGCCAGATGACCTCTGAGGTCCCTTCCAACTCTGTTGATTTGTTATGCGGAACTAGATTTTGCCCTGGGCTTGTGGTTGCTGCTTTGTCCCACCAAAGTGTTTTTGTGCGTTGACCCGCAAAACTCTTTTTGAGTTCAGAGCATCTCTTTGACCGGGATGAGAAACTTCCTGACAGTGAGGACAATCGACCAGTGGAACAGCTTGCCACCAGAAATTTTTTAAGCAAAGCCTAGACAATCACCTGTCCGAGATGGCGGAGGTTCTCCTGCTCGAGCAGGGGGCTGGACTAGAAGACCTCCAGGCTCCCTTCCAGCTTCTATTCTGTTCTGTTCTCTTTGCCAGACCCCCGTTTGTATCAAGAGATCCGAGAAAAAGGCCTCAACTCCATCAACCACGAGTCGGACGATGACCTCCTCGACCTGGACGCCATTCCTGAAGAACATCCGCCTGCCATCGTGGTGAAAAACTACCGTCCTGCTCACGCCACCTGGAGCCAGCAGCTCGAGGTAGGGAAGGGCGAGAGGAAGGCGTGGCACCAAGCTCAGAAACACAACGCAGGCAGCACAACTCTCCCCCTTGGCCGAGTCGATATCGACCCGGTAAATATCTGCCCATCTTCGGAGACACCAAAGGTGCAAAGGGCACCTGACATGCAGAGGGAACACACAGTCACACCCACAGACTCACACAGACACAGCCAAACAAATAAACACACACCTGATTCTTCCCCATAAGCCCCTTTTCAGGAAAAGAGAAACTTGGGGAATGGGAAGAGGCTTCGCCCGTTTGACTCACTGCCTGAAGCAGCCAGGAGGAAACGCGACGTGGAGTGTTGCAATAAGCAATAAGTCCAAAGAAGCTTGGAGATTCCCGGATGTGTGTGTGTGTGTGTGGCTGTGTAATTAAACGCACAAACACCCACCCACACCCAGGTGCGCGATTGCCTCTGATTTAGACACAAGCCGTGGGATCCCTCAGAGGGCGGTCCTCGTTTCATCGTTTGTCCTTCCATTTGTTCAGTTTCTCACAGAATAAAATATTACTTTTTTTAAAAAAAACAACTCAAACTTTCCTTCCAACCTCCCCCCCCCCTTAAATTTTTAGGAGGGATGAAAGGATATTAATTTCAGATTGGTTATGATAATTTGCAAATAAAGCAGAACATAGGAATTAAAGGGAGTTGAATAGAATAGAATAGAATAGAATAGAATAGAATAGAATAGAATAGAATAGAATAGAATTAAAGAATAGAATAGAATTACAAAATAGAATAGAATTATAGAAGAATAGAATAGAATAGAATAAGAATTAAGAATAGAATAGAATTAAAGAATAGAATAGTAGAATTACAGAATACAATAGAATTATAGAATAATTAGAATAGAATAGAATAGAATAGAATAGAATAGAATAGAATACAATACAATACAATACAATACAATACAATAGGTGTGGACCTCACCTTTCCAGATGTGAAGCCTTCACCTCCCCAGAGCTGAGAAGTGAAATGTGCACATCTGGAGAGCACAAAGCCAAAAAGAGCACTTGAAGGCCCCTTGGTGAATCCTGTTGGCAGAAGAAGCTGGTCTGAACTTCCACAGCATAGATGGTCC